AATATGCGTTTTGAACTGCTGTTACACAGCACAAAAAGCATAAAAATTGGTGGATCTCAGAGATCTAAGAAACAATCGGTTTAAACCGGCTTTACTGATCCCGTACAGCAAGAATAAGACTTGACCATCTATGAAGAGAAGCTTCCAAATATTCAATAATTGGCCAACGCACGGGCTGACCGCGCGAAGATGCGTTTTTGCACAGTTCCCCGAACTTTTTGTCGCTACGGGCATCGGTTTTTTCGGCAAATGTTCCTAGCTAAACAAATAAAAACTGGCCGCCAGAACTGGCAGGAAATACCCCCTTAAAATTTCAACTTCCTACTTTTCCTAGCTCCTAAGTTAGCAACTTATTTGAAAAAAACTTTCACGGGCCCGCACGCGGGTACCACGCATACCCGATGTTTGGGTTTGAGCTCGCTGAGACTTACCTGGACGGGGAACATCTTAAAACCACAGTCCTTTAGCTTTTCAGGCTCTCAAGTTATAAACTTACCCAAGGAAAACTTTGGTGAACCCGTCCGTAGGTACCACGCATGACCGAGGGCTGCGTTTGAGCTCGTTGAGATTAATGTGGACGGGGAACATCCTCTTAAAATTTCAGCTTTCTAGCTTTTCTGGTTCGAGAGTTATCAATTTACCCGAAAAAAATTTCGGCGGGCTCGTACGCGGGTACCACGCTTACCCGGGGGTTGAGTTTCAGCTCACTAATACCTACTTGGGTGGGGAAAATCCCCTAAAAATTTCAGCCTTCTAGCTTTTCTGTTTCGCAAGTTATCAACTTACCCGAGAAAAAATTTGGCGCACTCTTACGTGGGTACCACGCGGGTAAGACCGCCCATTTCGGGGATGGGGGCCCGTACGTGCATGCAGATTATGTTCCCAAAGTTTCAGCCCTGTAGCTTTTGCCGGTCTCGAGATGAAAAATTGGTACAGACGCGCAGCGCACACACAGGCACACACACACACACACACACACACACACACACACACACACAACCTCCCGTCAATATGCGTTTTTTCGCATTGCATTGCTGCAAAAAACGCATAATAAAGCAAGCATCAATAAAGCAAACATGTGCTAAACAAAGCCGAGGAAGTTTTGAGAGACTTTCCGCATCTTAAGCCACCAAGGCTCAGTCAGTGCGACAGTGTAGTGGAGCAGCCCGACGCCTGGTGCCTTTCATAATGGCATCACTACAAACGCTGGAGCTGACAATAACGCGGCGGTCACATTATTTAAGAAATTTCGCAAATTAAATCTCCAGTAATTAAGCAACTTCGGGAAATTTTAAAAGCGAGACAAACATCCTGTGTAAATTGCGGATCGTAGCCGAATGTTCGCATTCCAAAGACTTGCATGCGTCGCGCGACTTCCACACCAGTACGTCCCAGGCCAATGATTGCAAGTGATTTCCCGAACAGCTGCAAAATAGTACCTCATGCAGTCTTTCCAGAATGTGATTAGATTTTGTAACAGTTGTTCCAAGCCATAAATACTCCCAAAGAGGTGAAGCTCGCTCTCAGACATGAGTTCCTGTCACTTCTTCACAAACCAAGAGCAATGACACCCATGATTTCTTCCCGGAAACCGAAAGGTAGACAGACCGACCAAGAAAGGCGCTGAGGAAGCCAAACTTCCCATGCATTTTGGTCGCCTAATCACAAAGCATTGGGAAAGACGCAACAATTTTCATCACTGCTACTTAGCCCCTCAGAGTGGAACGATTTAGCTCGCCCGGATGAAGCCCAGCTAACGACATTCGTTATCGGCGTGCTATACGATTCCGCCAGGGCTTGTATGCAGCTCGTGCGATGCAAATCCATTAAAACGTCATATACAAATTAAGACGAGGAGGCGCATCAGTCAAGACCAGCACAGGCTGCAAAGAAGTGCAAATGTGGAATAGAAGGCTTGACAAATATCACGTAAAAAACGAACATCTTCGGCGAGAGGCTCACTCCTCATCCATTTGCCCTCCTTCATCAAAACGGCTGACTGAGGGATTTTTCGAGCTAACGAGAGAAGCAGCGCACAGATATGCTCAGCAGCGCCTTCTGTCTTGACACCTGAAAAACAAAAATATAGTATGTTTCGCCTCCTAGAACTGCTCCTCGGACATAAATACATTCCGTTTCAACGAAAAGTCAAATTATTGGAAAACTAACCACCACTACCATCAGTGATTTCCCAATTGTTGAGAATGTACCGCTCGAAAATTTCCTCGAAATAGGCTTCAGCTGAGCAGCCAATGGCAGCCTTACGTTTGCGAGTACCGCCGACCAAGCCATTTGAGGAGGGTAGCGCGGATGCGGAATTTGTTGAGGGCGGCCGCGAATCGGAATTCTGCAGTGAACTCATCATCATTGCTGTGTAGCTTTCAGGACTGCTCCGAATGTCGGCTCCATTCAGGTGCTCATCTTCGGTGTTGCCATTGCTGGTGGTCGTTGCCGTTGCCGTTGCTGGCTGTGCTGCTGGCGGTGCAACG